CTTTTTTTGGGGCCCGGGGGTATTATTTTGGCAGATAAAATCACCAAAACCCACTGTAATAATACGAAAATGTTCTGATTGTATGCTTTTGGGATTTACCGCGGAGCTGGGCTGGTAAACAATGCCACGGCGGAACATGTGAGGCGGATCAGGCCGCACATTAGACGGTCTCACGAACAGGTTGACGGGTTTTTTAGCGGTATGCGAAGGCAAATCTTAGCGATAAAAATGTATCGTAGGGCGGATTAACGTTATGTAAGGCCAACGTATGCGGGGGTCCCACTGTAATTGAAAGTAAAAGTGGAGTGGCTTTGTTTTTGAGCTGGCCATTAATTACAAAACCCCAAGCAACCATCTCTCTAATAGTGACCAGGAAAAATTTGCAATAAGGGAAGCTGTTTTTGCAAAAGGTGCAAACTGTGGATTACAAAAAAGGGGACCGCAATGTTAGATGTTGAGAGACTGTTATTGGTGTGGATAAAGAAAAACAGATACAGGAGATAGCATCTCTCAAGTGATCATTTGTGAAAAGGCAAGGCAGTTACATAAACGATTTGGTAAAGAAAATTGCCTGAAAACTAGTGGTGAATTTTGAGTGAATTTAAAGGCCAGCAAAGGTTGGTTTGAAAAAATTTAAGAATCGTAATGGCTTTACATAGTTGTGATTAGGCATGGTGAGGCTGCCAGTGGCTCTCAAGTGGTCCTAGTGGCATTAAAAGAAGAAGGGAAGTAACCTGGAAAAGGACTTGCTACCTCAAGTCCCATTGGAAGGGGATCCCCTTCTAAACATTAACAACTTCGACACTCTCCCCCCCTCCCCCATCCCATCAATCATTACCAGATCTTCATTAAAGGTAAGTGTCATGTATTTCTTGTTAGTAGAGTAACTACAAACTGTGCATGTCTTCTTCAGTTTGTGCGGGATTAAACTTAATACAGCGACCCTCGTCCAACGATGGCATCGATTAACGATAAATCCGACCAGCGATACATTTTAACGCAAAAATTTTGCTTCGACTAGCGCTAAAAATCTCGACCAGCACTATTCATTCTGTCTGAGACGCATCCACTTCTGGCCAGTGTTTACAAGCCAGCCAGCCACCGCAGTCACTGCCAAGCATACAATCGGAACATTTCATATTATCACAGCCTTTTTAGTGATTGCACCTGCAAAATAAGTCACCATGGGCCCCTAGAAAGCTTCTAGTGCCAACCCTACAGCTAAAAGGGTGCGAATTACTATGGATATGAAGAAAGAGATCATTGCTAAGTATGAAAGTGGAGTGCGTGTCTCCGAGCTGGCCAGGTTGTACACAAAATCCCAATCAACCATCGCTACTATTGTGGCCAAGAAAACGGCAATCAAGGAAGCTGTTCTTGCCAAAGGTGCAACTATGTTTTTGAAACTGAGATCGCAAGTGATACAAGATGTTGAGAGACTGTTATTGGTGTGGATAAACGAAAAACAGATAGCAGGAGATAGCATCTCTCAAGCGATCATATGTTAAAAGGCTAGGAAGTTGCATGAGGATTTAATTAGAAAAATGCCAGCAACTAGTGGTGATGTGAGTGGATTTAAGGTCAGCAAAGGTTGGTTTGAGAGATTTAAGAATCGTAGTGGCATACATAGTGTGATAAGGCATGGTGAGGCTGCCAGTTTGGACCAAAAAGCAGCTGAAAAATATGTGCAAGAATTCAAGGAGTACATAGACAGTGAAGAATTGAAACCTGAACAAGTGTTTAATTGTGACACTGACAATGTTGTGAAACACTTTAGGAATGGCATAAAGGAACGGGAGGTACAGGCCTCTATGGACAGATATGCTGTGCGACAGAGGTCCAGTGACTCTCAAGCTGGTCCTAGTGGCATTAAAAGAAGAAGGGAAGTAACTCCGAAAAAGGACTTCCCACCTCAAGTCCTAATGGAAGGGGATTCCCCTTCTAAACACTAACACCATCAACACTCTCCCCTCCTCCCATTCCATCAGTCATCACCAGATCTTCAATAAAGGTAAGTGTCATGTAACTGTGCATGTCTTCTTCAGTTTGTGTGTATTAAAATTAATATTTCATGTGGTAAAAATTTTTTTTTTCAATACTTTTGGGTGTCTTGCATGGATTATTTGAGTTCCATTATTTCTTATGGGGAAAATTAACACGACTAACGATAATTTTGATTAACGATGAGCTCTCAGGAACGGATTAATATCGCTGGTCGAGGGTCCACTGTATTTCATGTGGTAAATTTTTTTTTTCATACTTACGGGGGTCTTGCACGGATTAATTTGATTTCCATTATTTTTTATGGGGAAAATTGATTCGCTTTCCGATATTTTTGGTTTATGATAAGCTCTCGGAACGGATTAATATTGTTAACCGGGGGTCCACTTTACGGTGGAACCTCAGTTGTCAAACTTAATTCATTCCATATGTTGGTTTGACGACCAAAATTGTCGACAACCAAACCAATTTTTCCCATAAAGAATAATGAATTAATCCATTCCAGACCAAAAATAACAGCATAATAATTTATTAGTAATAATGTACTAACTACTACATAAAACATTGTATAAAATTATAAAGCACACAGAAGCTGTAAAAAATGAATACTAAATGAAAATTTAACTGCCTCTTACCTATCAAAGGAGAGATAATGGCAAAATTCTAGTGGCTTCAGATCTTGCAGGAGAAAGCTGGTAGGCCCACATGTGAGAGAATGGGTCTGCATGGTCAGTGTGCAAAGTATAAAAAAATCCTGCAGTATGCAGTGGATAATGAGAAAAAATCTGCGACCATGTTTTTTGTTAAAACAGCAACTTTGCGGTGTATTTTAGTATGGTATTTATGGTTGTATTCTCATATTATTGGTCTCATTTGATAGAATGAAAGATATGTTACAGAAATATAGATGATTTTCAATGGTATGAAGACTAAAGGTAGCTTGAAATTGAGCTCAAAGTAGCAGAAATGTTCAGTTTTTGCTGATGTTTAAGAGTAAACAAATCACGTTATGCGTCCAATACACATTTACTGGTCGGTCTGATATGCATTCCTGAATGTGCTGACATTATTTATACAATTATTACAATTATGCAGTAGTCTGAATAACAGTAAATCATCTATTATTTTGTGTGAACAAAAATTCAAAATGAAAATCAAGCGTAATATAAGAGGGTCTGGAGATGTGACTGATGAACAGATAAAATGTTATTTTAGTGCCAGAAATGTCTGCATTGTTTATGCTGGACCCTATTTTGAAATTGGTCTTTCTTGAATTTTTTTTGTGAAATTGGCCAAATTAGTAATTTCAGATCACTTTATTGGGTAGTTGAAATAAGTAAATAGGCGTTTCTTGTACTCAGTCGATAGAATAAAAGAAGTTCTAGCAAAATAGCTATGAGTTTGGTCTAATGGAATTGACCCAAAGTGGGCAAAATCGCCGATATATAAATATTGCCGAGACCACTAACTTTGCTATAGCATAATTATGTAAGTTTTACATCAAATTTCGTACTTTTGGTTTCATTACCTTCACAAGATACACAGCAAGAACTCAAGAGATGTTTGCAGCATGTGTGTTAGTCGCTATACTGACTGAGACCCATGCTGTGGACTGGTGTTCACATGATCCAAGCATTGTCGGTTGACAATCAAAACCATGTATGAAAGCCAGGACCAAATTCCTTGTTTGAAAAGCAACTTGTTCGACAACTAGTTAATTTGACAACCGAGTATTTACTTTTTTGTGCCATATTAAATTTTTTTTTTTTTTTTTTTTACAGATTCCAGTTAAGTTGACTCTGCATCATCAGTCAGTTGATATAACAGAGGCAAGATCATCTGTATTCACAGAGCAGGAGAGTTACTGGCAACTTCCTCTGTATGACACAGGACTGGTGACAGATATCATTGTCAGTTCGGGAGGCACTCAAGATCCTCTTGATGACTGCATACATGTTGCCACTGTAGCTCCAGCTGCTGTTTATTCTTTTGTACCTAGAGGAAGAGACACTCCTCTAAAATATATACTTCTTCAGGATGTACTTCCACGTTATCGTTCTGCTTACCAGCCACGGTTACGACTGGCTAACTTATCGAGCAGAAAGCTGCTTATCCATGAAGAGGTTTCAAACACACTCTTAAATGTAGACATGAACACTGGTGCAGTATCTTGCATGCAACTTAATTCTAGGTTTGAAATTGCAGCAGAGTTACTGATGAAAAGGCTGGGATCAGGGGGAAGAAGTGAAATCTTTTTCCGTATGTGTAAAAGTAAAGTTGAACAAGGGCAACTTGCATTGTGGGAAGTTGGTGGTAAACGCATACTTTTCATAGACATCCACAAAGAGATGAGCCGCTTGGTTACTTTGCCATTTATTCTTTATTCTCTACATCTTTTAGAGGGAAGATATCAGTGGTTTGCTATTGATGAGGAAGGTAATAAGTGGTTGCTGAAAGATAACATGTACAATTTTTGTGCTTCACCCAGTAACCCAGACACCAGTTGAACAAGATTGTAGCCATATGTTAGTATCTTGCATTTCTCCACATACCTTAAGTGACTTTGTGTTGTCTTCAGCACTTAAAGAAAAGATTAGTGCTTCCACTCATCTTTTAGCTCCATATAATGCTTTGGCTGCTGTAGCTGTAGGTTTCCCAGAGCTTGATGCAAGTGAAAATGAAGTTTATGTATGGGAGCGTGATAACATTTCACTGAAGGCCTTTTCTTCAGTTAGTGACCCGGTTAGCTCTACTGTTGTGCTAAGTGATGCTGGGCAAATTGTAAGAGTTGTTGATCAGGCTCCTAGAAATGCATTCGAATATGATGTTTCACCTTCAGGAGCTAATATATTTTTAGAAGTAACAGATTTAGTGAATCATAGCTTAAGCTACATTCCTGTTCCCCAGGCCTCTCAGTCTTCTCCATACTGGGCCTGGTCTGTGGCAGCTCGCACATCTCCACTCTTTATGGCTGCAACAAGTGGTCAGGGTTTGGCTACAGTAGACTCTGCAGGAGTTGTACGTCTCTGGCAAACGGGAAGTGTTGGTTTACAGAAAGCTCTAGCAGATTGGCGTAAAATGATTGGTGATGACACTGAACGTCTTAGATTAGAGGTTGACCGCTTCAGTGGTGAGGATGTCACTGAACCTAAACATGGACAGGGAGGATCCTGACAATAATCCCCATATAGGAGGAAATACTTGGGCAGGTGGGACAGGTGGCCGTGATACAGCTGGTCTCGGTGGTAAAGGAGGACCATATCGGTTAGATGCTGGTCATGATGTTCATCAGTTATCTGAAGCCGAAAAGGATGCCGTCCCTGCTGAAGTGAGGCGTGCTGCCCGTGAAATGGCACAAAAAGCCTTCAAAGAACGCTTGAGAGAAATTAGAATGAGTGAATATGATGCCTCTCTCTATGAGAAGCTTGCTGGTGGTGTGCAACAACAAGTACATGCTTTACGCACTATTATTAACTCCCTACAGGCTAAAGGAAAGGAACGGCAGTGGCTTCGGCATCGCACCTCTGGTGAATTAGATGACACAAAATTAATTGAAGGCTTGGCAGGAGAAAGAAATATATATCGGCAAAGGCATGAAGAGGAACCAGAGATTGGGGCACCACAGAGACATCCCAAACGACTTCGCTTAGTTGTTGATGTGTCTGGATCAATGTACCGTTTTAATGGTCATGACGGTCGTCTGGAACGTGAACTTGAAGCCACACTTATGGTTATGGAAGCATTTGAGGGGTTTGAGAACAAATTTAAGTATGATATTTACGGACATTCTGGTGAAGAAGCTGCTGTTCCATTAGTAGAATGTGATAATGTGCCCCATAACAACAAAGAGCGTTTGGATGTACTGAAAACAATGCAGGCTCATTCACAGTTTTGTCTCAGTGGAGATCATACTTTGGAAGCTGCAGTTAAAGCTGTGAAGGACATAGCAACTGAAGAATGTGATGAAAGATTTGTAATTCTACTGTCTGATGCAAATTTTGATCGGTATGGAATCAGACCAAGTCATTTTGCTAAAGCACTTACTGCTGAGAACACAGTAAATACTTTTGCAATATTTATTGGATCATTAGGTGACCAAGCAGACAGGTTAACAAAGGTTCTTCCTGCTGGACATTCATTTGTTTGTCTTGATTTAAAGAAGCTTCCACAAATCTTGCAACAAATATTTACCTCAGCTATGCTAAAGTAATTGTCAAGTATGATACAAGCACATTGTTTTTAATATAATAATGCAGTATGATAATTTATATAATAATGCAGTATGATAATTCACTGCTAACTACTGGTACCATAAAAATTCATATTATGTATTTAAATTATGTAATTAAACTGAATTAGATAACAGGATTGTTGATTTCTGTCCCCTTTGAAAGAGTATCACTGGGAAGAGTGCATTGTATATGTCTATTCTTATTTATGGATCAGTTCTTTGGCTGTACAGTACATCCCTTGATTCATTTCCCTCTCCTGTACATTTACCTTAATGCCTTACTTTTTCCCTCCTGCCTTGGAAGTCCCAATGATTCAAGTTTGCTCCTTTTTCCTTCCATTCCCAATGGCTCACATGTTTGCTAAGAAATCAGTTTCACTTTCACAAACACTTGCCATGTACCAAGAGATGGATAGGGATTGATGCTGCTTTTCCAGATAGACTA